TCCACACAAGCAGGGATCTAGGACAGTTTCTGGCATACAGTAGGTGCTCAATAAGTATTTGTTAGCTGAAGTAACAGTGATAAAAGATCCTATCTGTGGCGGGTTTACTCTATGTGTGCCTCACATTGTGCTTGCATTGGTCTCCCACAATGGGAGCCCTGCTATGCAGATGAGAAACTGAAGTTCAGGCCTGGTATGGTGGCTCGTGTCTGTAATCCAAGTACTTTAGGAGGCCGAGGAGGGAGGAGCACTTGAGTTCAGGAGTTCAAGACCAGCCTGGGCAACATAGAGAAAACCCATCTCTACAAAAAAAATACAAAAATTAGCCAGGTGTCATACTGCACACCTGTAGTCCCAGCCTCTTGGGAGGCTAAGGTGGGAAGATCACTTGAGCCCATGAGGTGGAGACTGCAGTGAACTGAGATCTTGCCACTGCACTTCAGCCTGGGCAACACAGGGAGGCCCTGTCTGAAAATAAACAAACGGGCCGGGCATGGTGGCTCACATCTGTAATCCCAGCATTTTAGGAGGCCGAGGCGGGTGGATCACTTGAGGTCAGGAGTTCGAGACCAGCCTGGCCAATGTGGTGAAACCCCCCCCACCTACTAAAAATACAAAAATTAGCCAGGCATGGTTGCAGGTGCCTGTAGTCCCAGCTACCTGGGAGACTCAGGCAGGAGAAGTGCTTGAACCCAGGAGGTGGAGGTTGCAGTGGGCAGAGATTTTGCCACTGCACTCCAGCCTGGGCAACTGAGCGAGACTCTGTCTCAAAAAAATAAAACAAAATAAAAATAATAAATAAAAGAAGTTTAAAAAAGTATCAGAAAAGTACAAAGAAACTGAAGTTCAGAAAGGTGAAGCGATGCTAGGAAACACAGAAGTTGGATTTAGTGGTGGAGGCTCAGAGGGAGGTCACGGCTGGAAGTGAATGGGATCTAGAGAGAAATTCCATGGTCCCTTCTGCCCCAAGAACAAGAGACAAGGGTGGCATTTTGAGTCCTTGAACACCACTGCTCCTCCATACCTGAAGGAGAATGAGCTTCCATCACACTGGATCTGCCGTCATGGAGAACCTCCCTCAGGGTCTTGCAACATGGTCACCAGGAAGGACCCTCTTCCTGTAGATGGAGATATTGAGGCTGGTGCGGGGCTCCCCAGTGACATCACTAGGAAGTGGTGGATCAAGGATGCACACCCAAGTATTCTGACCTTGCAGCATACTACATCGAGTTCAGGGTTTCCCAGCTTGCCTGACCTAAGGTTTACACACGGTTCTCATAAAAATACAAATTCCTAGGACCTCTGCTTGGAGATTTTTACTCAGGAGGTCTTGGGTCAGCCCTGGAAGCCGATATTTTTCACAAACTCCCCAGGGGTGTCTTATGATGAGGGAGCTCAGGAGATACTCCCCTGGGGTCAAGGCCAGGCTCCCCACCACCGTGCAGCTCACCATCCACCCGGGCCTTTGAACAAGTGCCAGGAAAGAGGAAAGCATCAACCATCACACTGCGCATCTGTGGCTAGCTCCATCCCCCGAAACAATAGGCGTGGCAGAGTCCCAGCCTCATCTCTTACTAGGTACGTAACTCAGATAGGTCATGGGACTTCTTTGAGGACACGAAGTATGTGAAAATCAGAGGAAATGACATATTGTGTGACTGCTTGGGAAACCCACACAGTATTGTGCAACTGCTTCTTGTTACATTGACTTGGCCCTTGGTAGGTAAAAATGTGTTTGTATTTCACAAGTATGTGTCACTCAGACAACAAGGAAGGTGTCTCTGATCTTACCCAGAGGTCACCAACCTTTCCGAGCTCTGAGATCTGTCAGGGGGCATAAACTTTGCCTGTTGGTGTGCTGGGAGAAAAAGCTGGGGTACAGAAATGATGTTAGGGAGAAAGCCACCTGGTGTCTTCCTCCTTATACACTTTTTCTCCTCCCATGCGTTTTCTGGAACCTACCTTGTTTGAATCCTAGTTTTCCTTTACGGATCACCTTTTCCAAGTAGCCTTCCCTTATTGCAGCTGGTACAACTTCCCTGTCCTATTAACACTCATAGCACTTGGTACGTGCGGATCTCAAGAATGCTGATCATTTTTCCTTAGGACTGGTTCCCCTCTGGGCTGCAGGCTCATTCATTTACACATTCCTGAGCCCTGCAGGACCCTGTGTTTCAAACCACAGGTCACTATTATGGGTCAGGATGTCAATTTAAAGCTATAATTTCCCGAAGTTGCCTGAGAAGAATCAGCCGGGGCTAGTGTTAAATATGCACAGGCCAACTGGCCTCTCTCCTGGGGATTCTGATTTAGACTGTCTTGGAACTGATTTTATATATATATATCTCATATGTATATATCTATATATGTCTATATTATATATACATGTATATCATGTATCATATATCATGTGTATATATTGTGTGTATGATACGTGTATCACATGTGTATATGATACATGTATATGTGTGTGTATGATACATGTATCGTGTGATGCATGTATCGTGTGTGTGATACATGTATCATCTATGTGTATATATGATTATATATATATGTTGGGTTTTTTTGAGACAGGGTCTGTCTCCCAGGCTGGAGTGCAGTGGTATGATCACAGCTCACTGCAGCCTCAACCTCCCAGACTTAAGCAATCCTCCCACCTCAGCCTCCCAGGTAGCTGGGACTACAGATGTGTGCCACCACGCCTGGCTAATTATGTTATTGTTTATAGACAGGGTCTCACTGTGTTGCCCACACTGATCTCAAACTCAAATGATCCTCCTGCCTCAGCCTCCCAAAGTTCTGGGATTACAGGCATGAGACACTATGCCCAGCCTGGTGATCTATTTTTTAACCAGACTTCTAGGACCTAGGATCTAGGTCAACGCTTTTCGATGTGTAATGTGCACACAGCACACCTGGTGAACTTGTTAAATACCAATCCTGGTTTCCTGGGGACAGAATTCTGCATTCCTAACAAACTTCTGGGTGACTCAATGCTGGTGCTGTAAGCATAGGGCCCATAGGTAGTTTGCCCAAATTCAAGAGATTCTTATCTTCAGGCATATTAGGGAAGCAAGTATTGAGTGCTATTGTTCTCAACCTCAGCACACCCAGGAAGCTTTTATACTAAGGTTCAGGTCCCACTGCAAACCAATTAAATCAGAACCTCTGGGGCAGAGGAGTGGGGCGGGGATGGGGGGTGTTGTTTTGTTGTCAAAGCTTCCCAGATGATTCTAATGTGAAGCAGGGCTAAGAATCACTGATTCACTGGGTCCCCACCAGTATTAAAATAAATAAATGAATAAATTGAAGAGAACAAACCATCTCACAGGCTTGCAGGGTAAACCCTGGGTCTCCATTGTACGTTATAAATACAGATGCATGTGAGTTGCTGGATCAGAGCAGGTTTGGACATGAGTGAAGCAGAAAGGGAGAAGGTCTTAGCGTTCACAGACCAGCCATGGGGACAAACCGCAAGGACATGGGGTGGGGGCCAGGGAGGGTGGGGCTGACAGCACCGAGGGGCTCTGCAGCAGGAGGCAGTGAGGTCAGATGGGGCAGCAGTGACCAGAAGCCTCTGAACTGAGCCATGCAGGAGGAGCAGGACATTGTCATGAAGCAAGCAAGACCTTTTAGGCACAGAGGACAAAAAATACGCAAGCATGGGGCGGGGGGGCGTGAAAATAATGCAGCAAGTTCAGGGAAGGGAACACCAAGTGGCTGACTGGCCCTTGGCCATTTGGTACTGGGGGTGTGAAGGGGAGTGGCAGAGATAGGCAGGGGCCTGATTGCAGAGGCCTAGGAAATGTGAGCTGAAGAGAAAGGAAGGTCAATGACCCCTTGTTAGGGAATGACCTCAGGTGATCTTGTCTGGGCAGAGCCACTCAGTTTCTGAGACTCCACTGACAGCTTGCATAAGGCTGTTTTCATGCACCTAAGAGCCCATGAAGTCTGAGGGCACCAGACAACTTTTTAGAAAGCATTTTGAGAGAAGGAGTGGAGGGTGATTAAGCAAAGATCCACCAGCAACCTTCCTATGGCCCTTGCCCCCAAGAACCCAGGCCCTCCCTTCCAACAGCTCTGCTCTCCACCCGCATTTCATTTCAGCAAACATCTCCTAGGCACCCTTTTTGCCAAGCACTGAGTGGGAGAGCCAGGAAAAATCCCGACAGCTCTGCCCTCATGAGCTGGAGGTGGGAAAGATCATATTTTCATGAGTGACTACAGCATAGGACAGGACATCAGAAGCGCCCCAAACTTTGAGCCATGGGAAGGCAGGGGAAAGAACAGTCAATTTTGCCTGAGATGATCAGGGAAGGCTGCTAGGAGGGAAAGGCGGCAAAAGGACCTTGAAGGGCTGTTTGGTGAAGGGCTAACACGTATCAATGGTGAAAGGGGGAAACAGGCTTAAGGAACACAGGTTTTGCAAAACACTGAGACTGCATATGGCAAAAGCACAGAATATAGTTGGGGTTGAGGTAGACAGACTGGCAAAAGGGCCAGGACAGGACAGCCCCGTGCACCAAGTTAAGGAGTTTGGATTTACTGGGGGAAGCAAGAGGGAACCACTGGAGATTTTTAAGCTGGAGGATGACATGATCACAGCTGGGTTAGAGGATATCTGGCAGCTGACCTAGTGGCTGGAGGTATGGAATGCAGCAATGGGTGGATAAGGACAGAAATGAAGGACTAACTTTAAGATGGATCCGGAATCCAAAAATAGAGGGTTTTCATCCCCAACATTCATATGCCCAAGAAGAGCCAATGAAGGGCCTGGGGGTTTCTGACAAGGAACAGAGAGCTGGAGGCGCAGAGGCCTGTGCTGTGACCTGCAGCATAAAAGCAGCAGACTGGCTCAGCTCCAGACCTGAGCTTTCCCGTTAGCCTGGGATTTTCTGAGTCTGGTGTGCCCCAATTGTGTGTTTCAGTCTTTTCCTTCTTGTTCAGGTTTTACCACAGGAGAATAACCTCTCCATTCTAATCTGAAATTAATTATTTATGCTTATGAACACGCTGGATGCCTGCCTGGTTTATTTATTTTTCGAATAATACATCTGAATAGGCATTCACACAAGACAGGGCAAACATAATTTTGAGGCAAAGGCCCTTTCCAACTGTTGCCCGATTAATTGTTCTAAGCCATTGTGTAGCTTTATCCTTATCCTGTGGAGTCCAAAATTTATCCCTCGCATACTAATTAGATGGCAGGTGCCTGTGTCTGACAGTCAAGATTCGCACTATCCAGCCCCACCACCTGACCCTTACAGTCTTATCTCCTGCTGCTATGAGTTTCTCCACTGGGCCAAACTCCACCCATCCACCCTCCAAGGCCCAGTTCAAACGTCTACTCTGTGAAGCCATCTCTGGATCTCCCTCGAGCGGGGAGGCCCCCCATGCTTCTGAATTTCCACTCTTTTGTTTTTGTAGCCTTCATCAGACGCTAAGCTCCCCAGGACCTTGCACGCAGTAGGTTCCTCAATGGAGCGTTTGCTGGATTAGGGGAGCCTGGTCTCCAGCTTCCCGAGAGGCAGCTAAGCACGACAGCCAAAGCGGAGCTGGGCAAAGACCAGACCCGCTTTTGGAGTCAGTGTCTACAAAGTGCTCTCGGGGGAAGGGGGCACGCGGCGAACGTCGCCCACCCGGAGCCGATCCCCCCAAGAACGCTTCACTGGGGTGGGGTTACTGCCTGGGCTGTCCCCAAGCACAGTGCACACACTTCACACATCCACAAGCCTCCTGAAACGCCTCTCCCCTCAGACCGACCTTTCCGTTTCCTTCAACGCCTCCCATCTGTTGTGTGCGTTCCAGTTTCCAACTCAGAGTCAGAACCCTCATTTCCACAGTCTCCTACAACAGCCCGGGGACGCACACAAGGCACGGGTTACTTTTCAGACGGGGATTTGGGGCTCAGGGTCCAGCGACTCGTCCAAGGTCACTCTCAAGAAGTACGAGGGCTATGACTTTGACCCAGGCCTTCTAACTCCCCGGGCAGCGCTCCTTCCAAGCCCCCCGCAAGCGGTCTGAGCTTCGAAGGAAAAAGTTAAAACGTTTAAAAGTGATTCGTATGTTCCAAAGCACGCACAAAGTGTGTTCTTCTGTGAACTGCGGAATGGGTCGCTGATAAAAGGTCCCTCTGAAGGTTTGAAGATACCCAACAAGGCTCCACAGAGGGCACTTTGGAGTCTTCCGCGAAGGCGCTAGCCCCCTAAAACCGACAATGCCCCTAAAACCGACAATGCCCAGACGCCCCCTGCAGGCAGCGCGCTAGAGAACGCGCGTTGGCTGTTTCTGGCACGCTGAGGCCACCGTACGGCATTAAGGGTGAACCATCGAGGCTAGCAGATCCCGCAACCTGACAGGTGTGCTGGCGTGGCCCTTTACCTGCCCCGCCGCGGCGGCCTGCGGCCAGGAAAAGCAGGCTGGCGACATCTGGCGGGCCGCGGGCCGCGGGCCGAGGGAGAGGAGGCGGGGCGGCGTCTCCCTCACGTGACCGCAACGGCGCCTGGCGCGTAGTTCTGCGCCCCAGCCCCTGGGTCGGTCACGGTCTGCGCCTGCGCGGGCGCCGGCTCGCTATCGGTCCTGCGGGACGCGGGTGGCGATGGGTGAGTGCGGGGCGGGCGTGGGGAAGCACCGGGTTCCCGTAGCAAGAGGTTGGAGGGAGGGGAAATGCGCCGAAGGCCCCGTTGGGGTAGCCTGCCGCCCTGGGGGCCCATCCCCGTCTTCTGCGCGCTCCAGCTGCGCTGGCTCGGCCCCTGCGGGCCCCACCCAGGCGGCGCGCACTGAATCAGTTCTGAGCCTTCTCGGCTCCTGGCTCCCCCGCCTGCCCCGGGTGTTTGTCCGGCTGCTGGGCGACCTTTCCCGCGAAGGCGTTGTCCCTTCATTCGGGCGCGCCCGAGGCTGGGGAGTCACCTCCCTAGTGCACAGGAACCGCAGGGGCGGGGAGGAGCCAGGCGCTACCTGCACTCGGGGGAAAGCGGGGCTGGCACCGCGCAAGGGCCCTTGCCTCCCGGGAGACTGGGATTTCTGCCTCACCTCGGGACCCCTGGCTGTGGAGTGTCAGAGACGGAAGAGGACTTAGTGATCTTGTCCAACCCCCTCCCCGCTTTTCACAGGTTGGGGAAATGGACGCCTGGAGAACGGTAAGTTCAGCTACATAACCTGGCAGTGCTTGTTCTGCGACACCATGTTGCATCGCGTTGTAGGAAGCTCACTTGTACAAGGATTTTCGGGGACGATGGTGGTGGTGGTGTTAGTCTCCATCCATTATTTGGTGTTCAGTTTAGCTAGATGGAGTATGTCAGCACCTCAACTTTCTGCATAACCTTTGTTTTGCACCTCACAGCTCTACCTAGCTGATCTTAATTCCCACCTTCTGTTTCTCTCTACTTGTAATCTGTGAAACAGAAGCCCTTGAAATGTGTAGTGACCTTGCCATTTTGAGCCTCCTCTGCCCGTGCTTTGAAAGGATTCCGTAGGATCAAAAGATGCTTGGACTCTTGAGGTCCCATAGTGGTTCAGAGCACAGGTTACCGCTTTGGAACTGGAGTCACCCTTAGCGTATCTCAGGGGAAAATAAGCTAGGAGTTGATTTGTCTGATCTCTCGTTTGGTAAATGAAAGCAAACTCAGATTAGTGGATTTCAAAATCAGATATTGCTTTGTCTTTGTATTGGCAAGATAGTGTCATAACTAGGGCTAGACCCAGGCTGATCTTGTTCTGAATGCTGACTCAGACCTGCTGACTAGTGGAAATTCACATCCTTTGAGAACTGGAGTCACCCTCTCCCCAGTTTTTGCAGAGACCTTTGTATTTGGATCATATCTGGATCATGCTGATCCATGTAGGCTGTACATTACAGTAAGGTTTTAGACTTTACACTGTTTTCTTAGTCACAGGAGCTTGACACTTGTAGTTGCTTGAAAGTCAAGTTCATTAACTGCTCCCTTATGATGAGATAGTTTTACGTAGCACACAAGCGTAAAGTTATGGTAAATAAATTTTGCAATAAATTGCAAAGAATTATCCACATTAATGAATAAAAGTATAAAGATCAATTTAGCAAAGAAATTTAACCATGTTCACAGTATAGGTAAACATGCAAAATTCTAAACTGCACTACCAAATAATGCTGTGCACATTATCCTTCTATTGCTAAATTAAGAACCTGTTCACACTATCCTGGTGTGTAGGATTAAACTAGAGAAAAAGCTTTAAATCTGTGAAGTCCGAGAGGGTTTCATAACATTTTTTTTCCCCATCTAGGCCTATTTTTTAAATCTGAGAATCTTAATGTACAGTAATGTTCTTAAAATAGTTTGATATGGTGGTCAATAAATGGTTAACTTCTGTTAGCTGTAATTTTCCGCTTGTTTAATAACAGTACCCATTCTCAGAGTCATAAATAAACCTTTATTTGCAAAATTTCAGAAAGTAATACAAGTAACATTCCAGTAAAAGTGAGCATGGACAAGATTTTTATTGTTGTTCATGTACACAAATAACTTGGCTTGTCCTGTCAAGGAGCGTACGTAAACAGCTTGTAGGTGGTGACTTTAGAATGTAAAATATTTCGTGTGCTCAGTATGTAAAAATAAAATGGTTTTGACATTCATAAATTGTCACAATATCATGTAATCATGTACATTAAATATTCTTGTTGATTTAACATTGTTTAATTCTGAAACTGAAGAAGTGCAAAGCATTACATGGGTATCAGGCATTTCTAGACTAAGTGTTAGGACTTCAAATATTGATTAATCTTAGCTTGTAAGTGTACTACTAAGAGTTTTTAACTCATGCCTATCAGCTGAAACAGTAAAAAGTAAGGATGTAGTAGACTAGTAATTATCGAACTCAATACCCGGACAAACTTCAGTGTCTAGAACGTATCTTGAAGTTAATCCTATTAAGCCCCAAAACTGCGTATATTAAGAAAGGGAGAGGAGAGAGGGAACAGATGATATTCTGGAACCTTTTTTTTTTCCTTTTAATCCTATTTTTACTGTGAATAACAGCACTAAACTGACTAACTGAAGATTTTGGGACACTTATAAGCAAGTAGAGTTAAGACGACATGCCAGCTCTCTTAAGTAGTAGTAAAAGTTTTGCTCAAAGGAAAGTACATAGCCTTAAACAGTCAAGTTATGAAACAAAGGATAGAAATAGTTGTCTCACTTAAGAATTACAAGAAAAAAAGCTGGGCACGGTGACTCACGCCTGTAATCCCAGCACTTTGGGAAGCCAAGGGAGTTTGGATCACTTGAGCTCAGGAGTTCAAGACCAGTCTGGCCAACATAGTGAAACCCCGTCACCACTAAAAATACAGAAATTAGCCAAGTGCAGTGGCACGCCTGTAATCCCAGCTACTCGGGAGGCTGAGGCAGGAGAATGACTTGAAACCGGGAGGCAGAGGTTGCAGTGAATCAGGATCGTGCCACTGCACTCCAGCCTGGGTGACATAATGAGACTCAGTCTCAACAAACAAACAAACAAACAAAAAAAAACAGTAAAAGAAAATAAACCCAGACCAAGTAGGAGAAAGATAATAAAGAGGAAAAGCAATTAAAAAATGTTTAAACCGCTGGGTGCAGTGGCTCACACCTGTAACCCCAGCACTTTGGGAGTTCGAGGCAGGTGGATCACCTGAGGTCAGGGGTTCGAGACCAGCCTGACCAGTGTAGTGAAACCCTGTCTCTACTCAAAATAGAAAAATTACCGACGCGTGGTGGTGTGCACCCATAGTCCTAGCTACTTGAGGGGCTGAGACTGGAGAATCACTTGAACCCGGGAGGCAGAGGTTGCGGTGAGCCGAGATTGCGCCACTGCACTCCAGCCTGGGCAACAGAGTGAGACTCTGTCTCAAAACAAAAAAAATTTTTTTTTAAACTAGGTGGGCACGGTGGCTGATGCCTATAGTCCCCTTTGGGAGGCCAAGGCCAGCAGATGGCGTGAGCCCAAGGAGTTTGAGACCAGCCTGGGCAACGTGGCGAAACCCTGTCTCCACAGAACGTACAAAAATTAGCTGGGCTTGGTGGTGTGGGCCTGTGGTCCCAGGTACTCAGATGGCTGAGGAGGGAGGATTGCTTGAGCCCAGGAGGTCAAGGCTGCAGTGAGTACACAGAGCTGTGAGGTAGCCACTGCACTTCAGCTCAGGTGACAGAGCGAAACTCTGTCTCAAAAAACAAAACAAAACAAAACAAAACTGATAAATAGTAAAATTGGTAATTCACAAGCTGCTTCTTTGCTAGGAGTGGGAAGGTTATCAATTAGATAAACTGATAACTCTGCTCAAGAAAGAAGGGAACATATGTACACAGGTTAGAAATAATTTTTTAAAACAGCAAGTGTTGGATGGGTGCAGTGGCTTGTAAATCTCAGCATTTTGGGAGGCCAAGGCAGGAGGATCACTTGAGCCCAGGAGTTCAAGACCAGCCTAGGCAACATAGCGAGCCCTCCTCTCTACTAAAAATTATTTTTAAAAGTTAGCCAAGCATGGTGGCATGCGCCTGTGGTCCTGGCTACTCAGGAGACTGAGGCCCCGAGGGTCCAGGCTGCAGTGAGCCATGATCGTACCACCGTACTCCAGTCTGGGTGACAGAACAAGACCTTGTCATTTTCTTTTTCTTTTTTTCCTTTTGGATGGAGTCTCGCTCTGTCGCCCAGGCTGGAGTGCAGTGGCGCAGTCTTGGCTCCCTGCAACCTCCGCCTCCGGGGTTCAAGCTATTCTCCTGCCTCAGCCTCCCAAGTAGCTGGGACTACAGGTGTGTGCCACCACGCCTGGCGAATTTTTTGTATTTTTAGTAGAGATGTCGTTTCACCATGTTAGCCAGGATGGTCTCAATCTCCTGACCTCATTCATGATCCACCTGCCTCGGCCTCCCAAAGTGGTGGGATTACGGGTGTGAGCCACCACATGTGGCCAAGACCCTGTCTTTAAAAATAAAAATAGGCTGGGAGCAGTGGCTCATGCCTGTAATCCCAACACTTTGGGAGGCCAAGGCGAGTGAAACACTTGAGCCCAAGAGTTTGAGACCACTGTGGACAACATAGTGAGACCCTGTCTCTACAAAAAAAAAAAAAAAAGGCTATATGAATTAAACCAGAATTTTTTTTTTTAAAGGAAATCCAGTTATCAAAATTGACTTGAGAAGAGAGAACCTAACAGAACAATAACAATGGAAGAAATTGGGAACATTATCACAAAGCTGTCATCCTGCCAAACTCCAGGCTCAGGTGATGTCACAGGTGAATTCTTTTAAACTTCAAGGAACAGATCATTTTGATAAGGTTTAAATTGTTCTACAGTATGATGGGGGGGTCGGGGAATCACATACTCTTCTTACAAAGCCAGTGGAACATTGATACTGGCACTTAATGTGAAGATAGCATTAAAACTGGAAACTTATCTGAGTGCTAAGGCTTATGCCCATAATCCCAACACCTTGGGAGGCTGAGACAGAAGGATTGCTTGAGCCAAGGAGCTTCAGACCAGCCTGAGCAACACAGAGTGACCCTGTCTCTACAAAAAAGTGAAAAATTAGCCAGGCATGGTGATGCACGTTGTGGTCCCAGCTGGGAGAATTGCTTGAGGCTGGGAGCTTGAGGCTGCAGTGAGCCATGATTGTACCACTGCACCCCAGCCTGGGTGACAGAGGGAGACCCTGTCTTGTAAAAGAAGAAAAAAAAAATGACAACATGATCTGTTATGAACAATAATATGAAATTTTAAAATATTACCAAATGGAAGTTAGCAGTATGATAAAAGAATATTTCACCACAGCCAAGTAGCATTTATCTACATATTACAAGGGTGAGTAATCACCAAGAAATACACTAACATAATACACCAAATGAATAAGTCAGAAAAGACTAATAAATTAGCTTGCCTTTGTTGAGTACCTACTGTACACTAGACTGTTCTCCCGGGCACTTTACATGTTATTAGCTCAGTTAATTGAGCTAGTCTATGAGGTAGTTAACAGCCGTGTTTTATAAAGAGAGTAAGCTATAGAGTGACTTGTCAAAGGTCACACAGTACGTGTGTGGTGGAGCTAGGATTTAAACCCAGGTAATTAGTAGGTTCCGGAGGCTGTACTCTTAAATATTGCACTGGCTCTATCTCCAGTGTTTGTATGATCATCTCAGGAGCTTCCTAAAAGCATTTGACCAAAGTTTAAGATAGACTTTTGAGTTATTGGTGGTGGGAAGGTGTGGAGGTGATTGAACTTCAGTACAACAATAATAAATGTATATTTCCTTCCCACGTTTGAAAATTCTCTCAGTTTGACTTATCAGTTGACTAGAAAAATTGAATCCTTTTTTATTTTATTTATTTATTTATTTATTTTTGAGACAGAGCCTTGCTGTGTTGCCCAGACTGGAGTGCAGTGGTGCAATCTTGGCTCACTGCACCTTGCCTCCTGGGTTCAGGCAGTTCTCTTGCCTCAGCCTCCTGAGTAGCTGAGATTACAGATGCCTGGCTAAATTTTGTATTTTTAGTACAGATAGCGTTTCTCCATGTTGGCCAGGCTGGTCTCGAACTTCTGACCTCAAGTGATCTGCCTGCTTCGGCCTCCCAAAGTGCTGGGATTACAGGTGTAAACTACCGCGTCTGGCCTGGAATCCATTTTTAATGGGAAGCACAATTTCATAGTTAATAGTTAGGGGCAGAAGCTGAAGTTATAATTGCAGCTCTGCTAATTCTTAGAATGAATATAGATTGAAGTCTTGGGGTTTTGGCATAATTTGTGAGATGAAATTATGTGATAGCAGTAGGAAGGCCTCTTTCACTTCACGTTTACAGTACAGTCCTACAGATGGGCGGGGGTGGATGATAAACGGGGAGGAGGGATACTTGAGTGGAAATAAATCTTATATAACTCAGCTGATCAGTGAATGTTTTTGTGTCTTGATGATTTGTTTCCCTGTGTAAACTTGAAAACTGCTAGGACCTGGATTATGAACACTGAGATGACAAGAACTTCCTGTTTAAAACCAAAAGCCAACTAATGATAATCCCTAGGGAGTTCCCACAGGTGTCAAGAAAAATATAAGAACTATGATTATATATATATGTAATTATATGGGGATTATAATGATTATAATTTATTATAATCCTTTATTATAATTTAACTTTGTTCAGGAAGTATTTGTCCAATAAGAAGAAAGAACTACACATAAAAGAGAAGGCAAAATTTTTTGCAAGTGATCTTTTACATTGTGGAAACTGAAACAAATTCACCAAAAAACTGAGACATAGTAAGAATTCAGTAAGTTAGCTGGTTCTAACCTTAATACCCAAGAATTGTTAGTTTTTTTCTTATGCAAACAAAAACTAATTAGAAAATTGATGGAAATAAATAGCCTATGAATAATAATAATCAGGCAGGGCAAAGTGGCTCATGTCAGTAATCCCTCTTTGGGAGACTGAGGCAGCAGGATCGCTTGAGCCCAGAAGTTGAAGACCAACCTGGGCAACATAGTGAAATCCCATCTCAAAAAGAAAAAAATTAAAAAATTTAAAACAAGGCCGGGCACGGTGGCTCAAGCCTGTAATCCCAGCACTTTGGGAGGCTGAGACGGGTGGATCACGAGGTCAGGAGATCGAGACCATCCTGGCTAACACGGTGAAACCCCGTCTCTACTAAAAAATACAAAAAAACTAGCTGGGCGAGGTGGCGGGCGCCTGTAGTCCCAGCTACTCGGGAGGCTGAGGCAGGAGAATGGCATAAACCCGGGAGGCGGAGCTTGCAGTGAGCTGAGATCCGGCCACTGCACTCCAGCCTGGGCAACAGAGCGAGACTCCGTCTCCAAAAAAAAAAAAAAAAAATTTAAAACAAAATGTAATAGTAACCAAAAAGGTAAAATACATTGATGTAAGAAATAAGATCTATGTGAAGAAAATCTTAATGCTTTAAGGTTTGCAAAAAGTTGTAAGTAAATAGGAAGATACCAAGTTCTTGCAAAGTTAACATTCAATTTTGAAAAGATGATCAGTATTTAAAATTAAAATAGACTTGCCATGTCGTGTCTGTCATTCCCTCCAGACAGCTAGTCAATGACCTCCTGCTGTACGTGGCCTTGATACCTTCTATGATTGTACTTATCTCCCTATAGTGGCCACACTGGTCTTGAACTCCTGACTTCAAGTGATCCGCCCACCTCGGCCTCCCAAAGTACTGGGATTACAGGCATGAGCCACTGTGCCCGGCTACCTGGCCTATTTTTACTATATATGCATGATTTTGTGGATACATCTTCCACCATAGAACACCAACAGGATTTTGGGAAAGAGTACACGGAAGTTTACCTGAGAAAAGTGAGAGGACCAGAAAAACTGTAATAATTCTCTTTGGAGGGGAAGCCCTACTAGGTGATGAACTGTATTCTGATGCTGCAATAGGTTAAAACAGGTTAGGACTAGAGAAGAAGTACTAGGCTCTTTGTGGAAAAGAATGGAGTGCAGAAATAAACGCGAATGCCCATGGGTATTTAGATTATGCTGCGACTACTGGAAACAAAGTTCATCAGTGATGTTGGCAGTCTCTTGTCTTTGCCTCACTTCTTATACTGATATGCCAGAGAGATTACAGTGTACGTGATAAATGAAACCATAAAAATTATGGAAGGGCCTGTAATCTGAGCACTTTGGGAGGCTGAGGCTGGCAGGTCACTTGAGGCCAGGAGTTTGAGACCAGCCTGGCCAATGTGGCAAAACCTTGTCTCTACTAAAAATATAAAAATTAGCAGGGCATGGTGGCACACACCTATCATCCCAGCTACTTGGGAGGCTGAGGCAGAAGAATCACTTGAACCAGAAAGGCAGAGGTTGCAGTGAGCCGAGATCATACCACTGCACTCCATCCTAGATGATAGAGTGAGACTCTCTCAAAAAAAAAAAAGGTTGTGGAAGGAAGCCTGGATTACTTGTTTGTAATTTTGGAGTAATGAAGACCTTCTGAGGAGAACAGGAAATCTAGAAGTTGAGATATTTAATATCCAAATTAAGAACTTTAGTGTATAAAAATGATATAGACATGGAAAAATTATTTGCCATAATTTGACTAATATAACTAGATTCATTTTCTTCATATCCAAAAGGTATTTTACAAATCAGTAAGACAACCAAAGCGCCAGCAGAAAAATGGGCAACATATATGAAAAATATAGAGTAAAGAAGTGGTCAGTAGAAATGAAAGATGCTGAATCATATTCAAAATTTTAAATGGCAGGCAAGGTGGCTCACTCCTTGTAATCCCAGCACCTTGGGAAGCTGAGGCATGAGGATCACTTGAGGCTAGAGGTTGGAGACCAGGCTGGCTAACGTAAGACCTCTTCTCTACAAAAAAAAAAGTAAAAAAAAAAAAAAAAGGTGGAATGTGGTGCTGTGTGCCTGTAGTTCCAGCTACTCAGGAGGCTGAGGCAGGAGGGTCATTTGAACCTAGGAGTTCAAGGTTATGGTAAACCATGATTGTTCTACTGCATCCTGGCCCGGGCAACAGAATGAGACATTGTCTCAAAAAAAAAAAAGTTTTTAATGGCAAAAGAATTCACATGGTATAGGTACAAGGTTGCCCATTGCTGCATTGTTTAAAGGCAAAATAGAAAAAAATAATACCCAAAGGAATAGTTCTACTATAAGGACACATGCACATCCATGTTCACTGCAGCACTATTCACAGTAGCAAAGACATGGAATCAACCTAAATGCCCATCAGTAGTATACAGGATAAAGAAAACGTGGTATACATACAGCATGGAATACTATGCAGCCATAAAAAGAACAAGATCGTGTCCTTTGCCGGAACTTGGATGGAGCTGAAAGCCATTATTCTTAGCAAACTAACTCAGGAACAGAAAACCAAATACCACACGTTCTCACTTATAAGTGGAAGCTAAATGATGTGAACTCACGGACACATAGAGGGGAACAACACACACTGGGGCCTATAGGAGGGTGAAGGGTGGGAGGAGGGAGAGGATCAGGAAAAATAACTAATGGGTACTAGGCTTAATACCTGGGTGACAAAATAAACTGTACAACAAACCCCATGGCACAAGTTTATCTACATAACAAACTTTCACATGTACCTCTGAACTTAAAATAAAAAATTTTTTAAAAGGCCAGGCCAGTGGCTCATGCCTGTAATCCCAGCACTTTGGGAGGCCGAGGCGGATGGATCGCTTGAGGCCAGGAGTTCCAAGACCAGACTGGCCAACATGTTGATACCCTGTCTTTACTAAAA